GGAAAAGATCATGGTGTGGGTTAAAATGAAAAAGAAAGTGACAAACTCATAAGCCGTGAGCCTGCTCCGCCTCAAGCCGGTCGCGGCGCTCCATACGCCCGCCGTGAGCCGTTCAGCACCGCGGACAGTCGGACTAATGGGATGTCGAACCAATGATATGGACCCTTGACAGCTAGCTAGCCGTTGACACCACACGTTAACTTAGCTAGGTTAGCTAGCTTAAAGCGATAACCGTTAGTTGTCTTCTGCCTGACAAACTAGTGATGCTAACTTGAAGTAAAGTTATATTTGGTGTTACCTGCTGTATAACAGCATTGTCAGGCTGAGTCAGCTGTGAAAGAATTTGCTCGAGTTCCTGTGTCATCTCGACAGCTCGGAGTTACCAGACTCAGATAACCTGTTGTGACCGTTAACGTTACTATTTCTAATAAACCGGGCTAGGTTAACGAGTTATCCTTCGCGGTGAGGTTACCGACGGCGTCTCAAGTTATGTTACAACTGTCAGATATGTAAACAGAGCCTCTGTGAGCAGGTCTAATCGCTAGCTTTTGTGTTAGCTGTGAAGATTCACTTTAAAAAATCGGATACGTGTGAAGTTATCAAACCCAAAGAAAGTCTGACAGATTCGAGCCCCAGCTCGGTCTGGTCCGTTAGGGCTTCAACTGCCAGCACGCGGGGCAGAACCGGCCAGGAGTTCCATGTGAGTTGTGTTAAAGGGCCCTGCAGCAACCAGTGTGTATTCAGTCTGATGGAAACAAACAGCGCCAACTACCGGAGAGGAGGGCACGGTGCGAAAAACCCAAATCAGTGGTGGGAAGTACAGTAATTTACACTTACATGTGAGTTACTTTGGCACCATTTTACTACTTCAATTTTATGCTACTTTATACTTCTACTCCTCTACATTTGACAGGGAAATATTGTGCTTTTTATTCCACTACATTCAGCTGATAGCCACTTTGCTGATTTTACATACAAAACATAAACTCTATTGCCACTTTTTTATGTACACCTACAGACAGGTGACAAATGGAAGGAAAAACCTACATGAAGAGTCTTAGTATATAGTCAGGCCACCATGAGCCTCCAGAACAGCTTTAATGCCCCTTGCCAAGTCTGGGGGGGATTAGACTCACAAGTCAGTCTTTAGACGCTTAGAAGGCGGAGATCTCTGATTGTCTGGTGGCGAGACTAGGGTGGGATTTGATTTATTCATTTTGAACATTTAAAAAAAGTAAATAGGAAAATCGTCTAAAAAACAACATGCAAAACAGAGACAAACAATAAATCACAAACAGACTTAGAATGAGAAACATAAATTGCCATTTCATGTCTTAAAAGAAGTAAGAAGAAGCAACATGCCCCCAATCCCAAACTATACTTATCCATCACTGATCATACAATTACATAAATGCACTCTGCTCACCATTGATCAACCACATATTTACACCACTGCACCTCTTAATACCTGATAACCAATATCACCCCATGTATAAAACAAATACAAAAAACATTCCTCTACAGTGTATTCCCTCTTTTATATATACAACCTATATTTAATCAGGTAATCTCATTGAGATCAAAATCTCTTTTGCAAGAGAGACCTGAGTGCAGGAGACAGGAAGAAGAACAAAACCTAGTCAGACAATACACAAGGACATATTGTGTCAAAGACAATCAGACAACACTAAAGCGATATGAAGGTAAAAGTTTATATTATCTCATTTGGTCCACAGATGTGTAACTGGTTTGAGATCTCATGACTGGAAAGACTGCATTTCATTTATGTCATTTTCATACACACCTAACCATTTACTGAGACCTGTTGCACATAAGCATCTGCATTTAATATATTTCTCCAGTCTTTTATTCAGTTTTTTTTTCTTTAATTTGCCCCCCATCTGTAGCTAAAACTGAAGCAGTCTAATACAACCGCTCTACAATAAATCCTACCTTCATGAGTAATGTAGTTCAGTTTATATGGAAACTGTTTTTAGAGACATGTTGATTAAACTGTATGGTCATTTTGGAGGATGTAGGTTGTGGATTGGAAGATGCCACTTGTTCATCAAAAAGTATAGTGTAAGTATTAGTGCACAACTTTTACTTAAAATCGAATATTGTTCTATTGTGGTATTACTACTTTCAGGTAAAGGACCTGGATAGTTCCTCAAACAATGACTTAAATCAAAACCCAAACTACTGAGAAGGATTGCATGATCAGTGCCTTGTGGTTGCAGTTAGGAGAAGGAAGCCACATGGGAGATCATTTGTACACTTTGCAAACAACAAAAGAGCTCATCATGGTCTTGCACTTCACACCCAAAACACCCATCGGTGAAAACACAACATCAGTGTCCACCCCTACACTACACAAGAAAGGAACATTGAAGAAGTAACCGTCCAACTTTTAACTTGAGAACAACAATAAGTCTAAATCTGCATCTCCTTTTTATACTGAAAAAAAACTAAATTAAATGATCATGTTGAAATGTACAGATATTTTAACTTGTAAATCCTTTTTCACAGTAACAATGCCTCACAAAAACACTAAAAAAAACACAATACAGTGCAGCATGCCTGGTCATCAAAGGCCAATCTGTTCTCCTCTCACCACATACCAATGCTAATGAATTGCACACCTGTGCACCCACCCCCTATACACACCTAAACCATAAACCCCTTCCTCTATGTCTTGGCTTACACAAGATCAGACAAACACACCCTGTCCAGGTAGAGATCAGTAGAAATGCTAATGTGGCCATTAGGCTCACAGTTCTCACATCATTTCATCGCTAACTGAATCATTATAAGGACAATACAGCCAAGGACTGGGAACACAAACAACCATTTGGATGGTAACATGAAGGCTAATCTAAATCATCTTTGTGAATAGGATTGCAAATGGAGGGAAAGGCAGTTTGCATCAACATGTCTAACCCACTGTACAGGAGGGGGGATGTTGGGACTTGAAGATAAAATCTGTCTTTGAACACTTAAGTTCAAAATGCAGTTAAATTGGATACTTCATATAAAGGATATGTTTTAAATCTTGTTTAAGGATAAATATATTACTCCTCCTTACAGCACTTTAAAAGTAAATGTTCTGTCAAATACCTCTTACTTAGCTGCTCCACAGCCTTAGATTTTTATTTGTATTAAACCATAATTAACAATAACGCTGACTAAGAAGAATAAGTGTACATAAACTATTTATGCCTGAGACCCAGATGCTAAATTTAGACCACTGATCTGGGACCGGAGCTCATAAAAACATTATTAATTATGCCACTGGGGGAGTCAACAGACTCATGTACATGGTTTAAAAAGCACTGAAACTTATGTGCTGACAGGGCAGCATGCAGAGGTTATTTACTACTTGGATAGCCCATTTTGTTGCTAAATAATTATGTATGATAAGTATTTGGTACACAACAGCAAGTCCCTGCTTAGATAAATCTCTTGCGACACAATTTACAGAGGCAGGGAAACTTGTTTTGTAAGCCTATGCTCAAGACACCATAAAAATATTGTGCTGCAATACTGCCATTTCCTCATTGAAGATACAAAAGATGCTACTGATAGCTAAAGGTGTGCTCCTTAAACAAACAACACAAGTCTCTTGATTGAGCACACATTTGGATGGTTTCCGACATGAGGTCATAGTGAGTTAATTTGATTAAACACAAATTATGATTTATAATACTAAATATTATATAATAATTCATGTAAGCACATTATCAGCTAAAATGATGAATGACTACACATGAACGCTCTTCAGCACACTCTTCAAGATTAGTTAATGAAACAAGATCCACCTTAAGGTCCTTATCATGAAAGCTGATATATTGTTATATCAGCTTTCATGATAAGGAAAGCTGATATATTGTTATATTATCAAACAAAATTATATTTGATGAAATGTTCACAAACAACTTGTAAATCAGTCATTCAAATCCACTTAAACTCATGTGTAACACTGGTGAACATAATGCTTTATCTTATCTGTGATTTTAGACATCACTCACTGAAAGAAAGATAAAGCAATTCTACATATTTAGTGCATCTATGTATAAACATATTTATTTCTGATAGGGCTTAATATTAGTGGTAAAAAGTGGGGTACTTCAAAATTGATTTATATTTCGTGACTCTACTTTCTACTTTTTTTTTTACTTTTTTTTAATTTACAGCCAAAAGGCACATAATATGATACTTGAATACAGATAATTGTAATAATATCACTGAGTGAACTGCAAGACATAAATAAATAATAATGAAAGACAACAAAAATGATTAAAAAAAGAACAAAATACAAGTGGTTATTCGGGAATTAAGGCACACGGATATTCATAAAGGAATAGGGCCATTCCACTTTTACAGCATTTTACTTTTTCTCATTTAGAAATGCAGGAAATATTAGGCTAGTTCAGAATAAAATAAAATAAAAACTACATTTGCCAAAAAATATTTTGCCAAAATAATTAAATTGTTAATCCCAAACTCTGCTCTCTTGTCCTTTATATTTTCATGATTTATAATCATAATATTTTGATCATTATAAGTAAACCAATATTGAAAAAAAGTCCCAAAATGCCCTAGTTAAATTACAATAGAAGAAAAGCTGTTCTAAGGTTCCAATGTCTGAGTTACATTAAGTACAGATATTCAAATCTAAATTAAACCTCTCGGAACATATGTCTCCACTTAAAGGGTGATGGGAAGCAAATTGAGGTGACGAAATTCCGTAATAATTTATAATTGCATTTTTTTATCCAGTAATCTACATGGATCTTTAAGTAATGAGGTTTCTGTGGAATAACCACAGAATAAATCTGCATACCTGTAATTACTTGAATCATTGCATTTTTATTTTTATCTCCAAACCCCAAAAAGCAGGGGACTTACCTAGGGGGCCAATGAAATGGCGCTACAGCTGACGATGAGGGGTCAATCACAGAGATTGGCTCAAATCGAAACACCCACCTTCATCCCTGCCCACACCCACACAGGTCTTTAAATACAGCCCGTGGACAACTACGCGCGTCACGAAGTTTTTTTAGGGTTATTGGTCCCGCTTGTTTTAACTCGGTCCTTGCTTTGTCGATTTTTAAGAAATTTTAACACAGATTACTCGAGCCCTCTTCTATTTTGTGTTCATTTTTGCGACAAACAACGCCTCCAGAGACATGGCAGACTGGAAGACGCAGATAAGCTACAACTACAACGCCTCTTACCATGCCTACGCCTACGGCCTCGTGTACCCACCTGGAGCAGAGCAAAACCACGGGAGCCTTACCAACTGGGGCGAAGATCAAGCCCAGGATTTGAGCAACTACAATGCCGGGATGGCACAGGCCTACTACACCACCACCGACAAGACTCATGAGGAGTCTCCGCCTGGCAGTCCAGACGGGCATGCCGTGAACATCCACGGTCAATTCCAGGGCCCTGGTGTTCTCCACCTCGGTGACAGCCCGGCAGGCCGTTTGCTCTTGGCCGGAGCTCCGCGGGTTGCTTACAATGTAGGAGCACATGAGGTCAGGCGGGTCCGGAGCGATTCGACCAGTGACTCGGAGGCACACACCTCACCAGGTATGTAGCTAGCTAACGGAGGTCTGACCTCAGATAGCATTTAAGCTAACTTAGCTAACAGAGTCCGTTATGTTAGACCTCTGCAACGCAGCGGGAACTTAAAATATCACCTACACATTTTTTAACTTGCATGTTTTTTGCTTACATCTCCTTGTGGGTAGCTTAACGCGACGATTTCTTCGGCCAAAATCGACCAAGAAGTCCGATTTGGTTCCATGGCGATTTTAGTTCCCTAAATATCCCGCCACTGATTTCACTCAGTATCCCGGAAAAGCAAAGTGGCGACATCTCGCGACAGAATGCGAGAATATCGAAACCATTCAAGAATATTCAAGAATTTACAAAAATATTATATTTACTATGACTGTTTTTATTCGGTTTATTAGACAAAATGTTCTCTTTTGCACTTGAAACACCCCATGCTCTGCTCTAGTAGAGCGGGTCGTCCACTAGATCAGTGGTTCGATCCCCGGCTCCCCCAGTCTGCCTGTCGTAGTGTTCTTGAGCAAGATACTAGACTCCAAATTGCGTAAATAGCAGGTGGCACTTTGTATGGCGGTCTCGGCCACCAGTGTGTGAATGTGTATGTGATTGATACTCATAGTGTAAAAGGTGCCTTGAGTGGTTAGATGATTAGAAAGGCGCCATACAAGTGCAGCTCCATTTACCATTTTGACCCTGTAGCTCACACTGGCCACCTTTTGTTCCTTCTCATTAGATTCATGGAGTTCTGGCAGCAGCAAAGAAGGAGGTCTCCCACGGGCAGACCCCGCCACCTGGGCAAATAAAGATCTTGATGATGAGACATGCAGCAGGAGCCCGGATGCCAGTGAGGACGTTCCCAACACTCTCGTGGAGGAGCCAAAGATCTTTACTGTCAGTGGGGATGAGGGCACTAACAACACTACCTCTCTCTCTGCACCTTTAACTGCTCCAAAGAAGCCAAGCACTACTTCTGCTGCCCCTAAAGGAAAAGTCCGGTCAGCCTTCTCAGAGAGTCAAATGAATGCTCTTGTCCAGCGCTTCAGTGTGAAGAGGTACCTCACCCCAAATGAAATGAGGAACCTGGCAGACCTGACTGGACTGACCTACAAACAGGTGAGGGGCTTAGGAAGGTTGTTTAATCACAAGCACAACATTTTTTTTGTGCACTCTGATCAGCTGGGATCTCCTTCATCTTATCTTCAGGTTAAGACTTGGTTTCAGAACCGAAGAATGAAACTGAGGAGGCATCAGAAAGACACCAGCTGGGTGTCTGAGCGCTACGGCAACAACAAAGGAAGCCCAATTGGGCCCATGTACACAAACATTACCTCACATATCCCTCCTGTAAGTAGCTCCCATTATTTGAATTCTATAGCACAATTTGTCAGTGCAAATAATATTGTCTCAGTTCCACCATATTATTTTGGGATTTTTTTCATAATTACATTTTTCTTCATGTAATTCTGAGCAAGAGCTAAGCGCTTCACTGTATTTTTAAGAATATATATATATCCCTTGATTCTACATATGTGAAGCGTAAAGGCAAATAAAGCTGAGAGGCTCATAAAATGGGACCAAACCACTGTCCTGCCCAGGTTTCCTGTTAAATTATAACAGAGAAACAGCAGCTTGGACATAGAACAATTTGTCCATAATGGAGGCCTAACCATAGTCTGGTTATGTCCTTAAAGGCGAGACAAAACACATAAAATGATATACTGTAACATGGACCATAAATTTGATATTTATTTATTTGGATACTAATACTGCCTGTTTGTCTTTCAGTATCAAGGAGAAGCCCTGACTCAGCTCAAGGGGCATTACAACCAGCACATGATGGGGACAGCCTTCAAGAAGACCCCACAGAACCTGGCCTTCTACCTGGCAGCCATGGGCTCTGCTGGTGGACCTGCTGGCTACTCTCCCTGGTCCCCTGGCTCATCCCAGACTGGAGCTCCCTCCAGGCCCCAGGCAGCTGGCTGGTCTATGCCCTCAGGTGTGAGCCACTATGATTACGACCCCAATGCATTCAGCCCAGTCGGTGCTGCCTCTGTGAATAACATCGGGCAGGGCACAAGCTTTGACAACAAAGATGGGGATCCTGTCAATGGCCGCACCTCTTTGAACGCAGCCATTGTACACAATGTCAATCAGTAGTCAATGTTGGAAGTGCTAAACTTTTCATGAAAAGTTACCTGAACCGCCTTGTTAATATTCTTCCCGGTTGTGGTTTGAAATGAATTGAGGTGGTTGTTGAGTGGCCGGGTGTACATATACCTTGTTCATACTCCTGTTCAAAAGTTTTATTTTTTTATCATGAAGCGTTATTTTTATATGCAACTTTATGTATGTTGATGTGATCTTTGCGCTTAGTGATCTGAGATGGGTCCAAATTGGGCACATTCTTCAGATTACGTTGTTTTTTGGAACTGTATTAAGGCAAAGTACTGATGCAGATGTGATGACAACAAATTTCACTTTTTCTATAAATACAGGTTCACTCTGGCAACTCTTGTTTTGGTGTTTTTTGTTTAGTTCTGTTTTTTAAATCATGATAGCATGGTAACATATTTACATATTGTCTGTAATTTGTGAAAATGGCATGACTGAGGTTGTGGCTAAACGAAACAAAACAAAATGTTCATATGCGAGCAATCAAGACTAGTGGATAGTTCGTCAAATTTGAAATAAACCTGCACAAAAGTTCAAAAGGGTACTAGAACTACATCATTCATCACTACATTGTTCACATAATTTAGGCTGGTGTTAAAGGAACAATTACCAACTACTGTGGCTGACATGAACATGCCATGTGCCCTATCTAAAGCCACTGTTCTCGGCTACTGTAAAAGCATGGTGGCGCAAAGCAGCACACAGTGGGCGAGGTCCAACTCCCTATGCAGATACAAACGCTTCATTCTAAGGTAATGCAAACATTGTTTCTTAATTTCAGGCATTACACATTAAAGAAAACATACTTCTTGCATTACATTTCTGCAATAATGTTACCCTGAATTCTGCGCACTGGCACTTAACATAGTCTGTACAAGCCGTGCAGTACAAAGACACTTCAGACTCAAAGGAAAAATGGGAAGTCCTGGGTAAAAATCACCCTAAAGTTGTTTGCTGGTAATGTTGTATTAAAAGCATTTTATTGAAAAGACTATATTTACATCAGAACCAAAATCTGTTGATGGTGATCACAGAATACAATAATATTGCTCCCATCACCAACACCTTGCAACAGCTCTTCAATCTACAATGCATCACTCCTCTTATCCACTGCAGGGCCATGTGGAGCTTGACAGGGCCAGTGCAAACATAATTTATCTATTATATCCGAATAGGCCACCACAATTGAATGTGTGGGGGAGTATAATTGCAAGTAATAACACCTGCAATGCTGCATAATTGAAACTACAGTATGAGTCAGCTGTCTTGGTGGGTAACTGGGGTAATGCGGGAAATAAGACCAGATCCTGCCAAGCCTTGATGGACCATGAAGTAGGTACCCGAGCAGATGATGCCACACTACATCATACAATGATTAAACCCACTCACTCAATTATCATACATTTTACCCATTCACTCCTGATAGGACAAAATTATCCCTTTGTAATGAAATTTCCCATTTCATCCTTAAATACATGATCTAACCATCCAACCAAGTGACCAGTCATCCCTTATTACAACAATGACAGCTCTAATTCAATCATTAACCCCTGTCAAAGTAAGTTAAAGGCCCCTGTTTCTCCTCCCACACTGGAGGCGTGTGTTTGTGTGTGTTGTGTATGACTGAAAGCAAGAGAGGAGAATGAGGATTGTCCATGTGTGCTATGAGGAAATGTTTGTTTATATCTGTGTGTCTGTGAATGCACATTTCTTGTCTAGTCCATCTTGAGGCTACGGTAGATGTAGCGAATAAATGCCAGTGAGGCCCAGAACGACACGCTACCCAGCATCAGTGAAAAGACCATCGCTGTGAGCAGAGAGTAACCGAAGAATTCGGTGCTCTGCACCAGGCCGCTCATAGAAGACCGGTTCCGGTAGTAGAAAACAGAGTAGACGAAGATGAAGAGGCCTGTGGAGCCGGTGCTCAAGACGCTCCGCCACCACCACCGGTAGTCTTCGCCAGACAGCAGGAAGTAGGTGAGTGCAACAGAAATGCATGCACCCACTGAGAGGAGGATGGCAAAGACGCATAGCAGGATGCCGTAGAGGGTGTAGTGCTCTCTGCCCCAAACTGTGGCAAAGATGTAGTACAGCTCCACTGAGATGGCACTGAAAGAGTTGATGGAAAGAGTAATTAATATCAAGAAAATGAAATTCAACAGGCTCTATATTTTTTCCTTAGAACAGTAATCAATAATGCTGACTGATCTTTCAAGATGACAAAGCTAAAACTTTTAAGTGCAAACATTTGCAGGTAGTCGATTTCACTCATCATCCAAACCATTCTGGACCTGAACAATAAAACATCATACAAACGCTGAATAACAGAACAACAGTAAGTGCAGACATACATGACAAAGCGTACCTTAATGGCAATTTCATTCTCTGACAACTCATTTTCCTACATTTCAATTCTTGACATAAAAAAGACTCATGGGATATATTCATTTCCACCAAACATCAAATATATAAAAAACTAAAATAAGCTTTAGTATTCGTCATATATGTTTTATATATTCACTTCCCTGCTTTATGTCTATTGAGAAGAGGGGCTTTTTAAAATTATCCTTTAATAGAAGCACCTCTTCCCCACACATGAAGATACCTCACCTGAATGGCAGGAAGCCACCGATAGCCATGTGTACAGCCGTGTGTTTGTACCAGGGCTGTGTGGGTATCTGCCGTGCGATGTTGCGAGTGCGGCACGGCGCTTGGAAGCTGCCGGCGTGGTTCTTCCCCACAATGCCGCCAATGACGGTGAGTGGGAAGCCCACCAGCACCCAGGCACCCAGAATGAGGAGCACGGTGGTGGCAGGCAGAGCCTGAGTGGAGCCACTCCACCAGTGAATCGAGTTCACAACACTCCATGTCAGGAACAGAGGCGCTGTTGGAATGAATAACAAATTGAATAAAGGACAGGGATTGTTTTTAATCATTCTAGATAATTCTTTGAGAGCAGTCCTGAAAACAAACCATTGTAGAATTTTTTTCACCATTAAAGAACTGACATAGCTACTTGATTACTTAATAGGAGCGAGAGGCTTTATGTGCCTAAGGGCAATATATTCCTGCAAAGTGTGAATGCTGTGAATATATTATACATAAATTAAATTACTAACTGAGTAGCAAAGCACTGTCACATTGTGCTGAACATTAATGGACGCTGCCATAATACACTAGAGGTGCCCCTACCTATTCAGCTTTTTTCTTTAGAAGTAAAACTATAAAAAACAATAAAAGTTCGAAGAGCTACAAGGCCTGATTGAAATAATAACCACTTTATCTCCTAAATGTTGAAGTAAAACCTCCAAGCAAAAGTCTGTATGAACCACAATAGTACAGACGCCAGTATGTATATTGACAGTTTTTATTTGGCAGATGCTTTTTGCACCCAGGTGTCCATTGCCAACAATATTTGCTTCTGGGGTGAAATAGTCAATGTGGCTATTTACATCCGAGTGTATATTCCTGGGTGTCCTAGCAACGGCAACAAAATGTTAGGTTAACACAGACTTCCAGCTATTGTGCTTAAGTTTATGTACACAGTGCTTTCACCAGTTTTCCTAAAACTAAAAATAAGAAATCAGCTAGCTAAGTCTAAAAATGATAAAGCAACACTGACTCACACTGGACTCAAACTTCAGTCTGCTGTGTGAAATTCTGGTGCTAACCCACTCACCTACCCAGTCTTACAATCTCTATGGACTGTGTCTCTCTTTTTATTATATCACCTGACTTTCTGGCAGGACATTTCTGAGCTTTTTCTCGCAAATTTACCAATTTAATCTCAGAGAATATCCAAGATTGGCCAGAGTTAGCCCTGACCTTGACCCCTGCACCTTAATCCTGAACGCTTCCAACCATGACATGTCAACAGGGATGAGTACTAGCCAATCAAAGCAATGACAGTTTTAAAGCATAAAAATAAAAATGCTGAGAGGAAACATGGCCGAGTGGTGATGAGAAACAGGAGGACATACAGAGGAAACTAAGACAGGATGAAGAGAGACTGGATTTTTAAAATGTTCATTAATGTACATTGTCCCTCTACAACAAATAAAGACAAATGAAATGAAATAAAAACTCCAAGCTAAAAACAGAGAGGAGATTATTTGAATCCATGACAGATAGGTCTGTCATGATAATTACGTTATCGACTTACTGAGGTCAGCAAAAAATTGCCCTTGTGTTTATATGTGTTTGGTTACATAAAAATGATGCCAAAATAAACAGAAGGGTTTTACAGGCCATTTTAAGACTTTGATGCAGACACACATATACAGTACAGGCCAAAAGTTTGGACACACCTTCTCATTCAATGCGTTTTCTTTATGTTCATGACTATTTACATTGTAGATTCTCACTGAAGGCATCAAAACTATGAATGAACACATGTGGAGTTATGTACTTAACAAAAAAAGGTGAAATAACTGAAAACATGTTTTATATTCTAGTTTCTTCAAAATAGCCACCCTTTGCTCTGATTACTGCTTTGCACACTCTTGGCATTCTCTCCATGAGCTTCAAGAGGTAGTCACCTGAAATGGTTTTCCAACAGTCTTGAAGGAGTTCCCAGAGGTGTTTAGCACTTGTTGGCCCCTTTGCCTTCACTCTGCGGTCCAGCTCACCCCAAACCATCTCGACTGGGTTCAGGTCCGGTGACTGTGGAGGCCAGGTCATCTGCCGCAGCACTCCATCACTCTCCTTCTTGGTCAAATAGCCCTTACACAGCCTGGAGGTGTGTTTGGGGTCATTGTCCTGTTGAAAAATAAATGATCGTCCAACTAAACGCAAACCGGATGGGATGGCATGTCGCTGCAGGATGCTGTGGTAGCCATGCTGGTTCAGTGTGCCTTCAATTTTGAATAAATCCCCAACAGTGTCACCAGCAAAACACCCCCACACCATCACACCTCCTCCTCCATGCTTCACAGTGGGAACCAGGCATGTGGAATCCATCCGTTCACCTTTTCTGCGTCTCACAAAGACACGGCGGTTGGAACCAAAGATCTCAAATTTGGACTCATCAGACCAAAGCACAGATTTCCACTGGTCTAATGTCCATTCCTTGTGTTTCTTGGCCCAAACAAATCTCTTCTGCTTGTTGCCTCTCCTTAGCAGTGGTTTCCTAGCAGCTATTTGACCATGAAGGCCTGATTCGCGCAGTCTCCTCTTAACAGTTGTTCTAGAGATGGGTCTGCTGCTAGAACTCTGTGTGGCATTCATCTGGTCTCTGATCTGAGCTGCTGTTAACTTGCGATTTCTGAGGCTGGTGACTCGGATGAACTTATCCTCAGAAGCAGAGGTGACTCTTGGTCTTCCTTTCCTGGGTC